GGCTGGGGATTCGAACCCGCCACCTTAGGTGTATGTGGTTGGTGCCTTAGCCACTTGAGCCACAGGCGCCAAGCCTCAAACCCTAGTCTTCCTCACACCCACCTTCAAACTCTTACTTAAACTCTGCTGTTTTCTAAGCCAGACCTGATTTTGCAAATATAGTTAAAACCTAACTAGAATCCTCCTAGACATACAATTCTGTTATCAGATTGTACACTTAATATATTATTAACATCTTACAATGCCATTTATTATTCTTCTACAAATTTAATGGCTGCAGTGTTTCATTATATGGGTATGTTTTATTCATTTTTAAATGGCTCCATATCAAAGTAAGAAATAAAAACTGGTTGTAAAATATTTAAACAATACACGAGGATATAAAGGAGAAAGTACAAGTTGTCCTTACCCACCCTGCTAAGTCTCCCTACCCAGAAGAATTTGCTATTAACAGTGTGATGCGTTTGGTTTTTACATAGTTCTTCTATGTCATTTATTATATGCAATGTAATTTTTAAATTTTTCTTCAAGGGAATGGAGACATACTGATCTACTGCTAGCTTTTCACCTGCTGTGTATCATGAACATTATTCCAAAACTGATACATCCTTTTTAATGCCCAAGAACCAAGAAGTCACACTTGGCTCTTGGCTTGAGCAGCTAGAAAGATGGGGCAGCAGTGGTTGGGGATTGGAAGACAAGAGGAAGAACCAGTTACAGGGTCAGAAAGGTCAAGACATAACACACTGGATACCTATGAAATATCTGAGTGGTGATGTCAAGGGGACACTTGGCCCTGTGAATGTAGAGCTGGGTATAAAATCATAGGCATCAAAAGAGAGTGGATGGTATGTAAATTCATGGCAATCGTCCGGCTGCCATCAGAAAAAATATATGCTCTATAATTCACTGTGCCCCCCACCCCCATCTCTCAATACTGGGCCTGTTTCAGTCACTCATTTCCTGTTGGTTAACTGAGGCATTGGCCTTTGGCACACTGCCAGAGGCTATTAAGAAAAAACATCCAAAACTTGGAACAAAGGCAAAAAGAAGGCAGCCTGTCACTCTAGGCATCCTAGAGTATTGTTTTTTCTTTTTTAAATTGAATGGTAACTATGTACATTAATGTACTTCTGGGGTACAGTGTGGGGTTTTCACACACAATCCCAAGGACTATTCATCGGGCGGATGCAAGCTGCTATTTACTGCAGACCAAAAACCCAGATTCTGTGAAGCTACACATCAGCTTAGAGATTTTTGTCGGGTAAAGATGGGCACCCTGTTGGTTATGGTGTTACTGCCCTGTAGGGCATAACCTGTAATAGTTTTGACCACAGCCAGAGAAAAGCACACTACGGTGCTGACTGTTCTCATTGAAACTTTGATTTTTTTTTTACCAGAATTCTCCGCAATATCAGTCCTTCTCCACTCTCTGGGGCCACTGTAACACATCTCCTGCTCGGCCCACAAACTCAGCCTCCCCTTCCTTCCTCCGGGCTCCAAACTAAGGCAGCCCACATAGAGCAGCCCAGCTCTGGCCATATCCCAGACACCCTCAGGCAGATCTCCATCTACTGTGCTGGCTTCTTTCAACCTGGGTCTTTCCTTCAGCTTGAAACATTCTTTATTCCTTTGTTAAATTTCCCCCTTCCTTTTATTCTTTCCCTCCTTCAGGAATTTCTAGTAATTGGTTGTTGGACAGCCTAGATGGAACCTCTAGATTTCTCCCCCTCTATCCTATTTCCTAATTGTGTATTCTGATCTACTTCATGAAAGAATACCTCAACTTTGTATTCCACCACTTCTAGTGGGTATTCCAGTCCCCTGCGAAGGGGATGGGGAGATAGAGTGGTTTCCTGGCTGTGCGAGCAGGAGGCAGGCTAGGATCTGCTCCTGTGCTTCCGGCCAGGCGCCCTCCCCCATGGGGCTCCCACCCCATGAGCCTTTTGGGAGGTTAGGAGGGCCAATCAGTTCTTTCAGCCTGGCCTCCTTCATCAACTCTCATCTGCCAAAATTTTCTGAATTCTCTTATCTCCTCCCACGTTAATTTTGTCCTAAGAGATGATAATGCTTTTATTCCTTTCTGGTATGTTTGGGGAGGAAAAAAGGGAAATGAGAGTGATCAACATAGCTTGTTCAATTTGAAGACTATTTTCTTTTAAAAATCTAATTCTATTGATTCACTATTTATTTTTTAAACTTCCTTATGGTAGGTTTTTTTTTAGTTAAAAATTTATTACTCATCTCCAGTATTTTCGCTTCAAGGCATACAAGGTGGCCTAAACTGGGTCTTTGGGCAACTTTGTGATGTTTTCTTCATATCTCAGTTGACAGTCAACTTAGGATAATTTTCCAAATGATAATTGATGAAAATGTATGTTCTCTCTAGGGTAAGAGCTTGATGTATTCCAGCTTATTAAACCTTATTAATTATTAAAATCCTCTAGGTTCTTATTTTTTGCCTCCTTGATCTGTAATAAACTAATACTGGTAGCAAGTTAGTCTCAAATACAATTGTTTCTGTCAATTTTTTCCTTTGCATTTTTGCTTCCTAGTTGATGCTATTTTATCCACAAATAAAGGTTTCCACCTTTTGTATCTTCATTATAAATGCCATCCATCAACATGAGATGGTTTCTCTGTCCTTTTCATTGCTGTCTCCTTGAGCTCCATGCCGCTTACAACCATCACCCCAGTACCAGGAAAAACCCAGGGACAGGACAGGGACAGCAGCGAAGAGGAATAAGATGGTGGAGGTGTGAGCAGCAAAGCTAGGCTTTAATGGGCAGGAGAGGGAAGAAAGGCAGAAAAAATGTGGAACGTGGCAGGTCCCTGCAGGCAGTATACTTTTAATCTTAGCTAAAGGGGAGAACAGAGAGCCTGGAGCAGGTGATGGATGACCTGGAAGTTTAAGATGCTGTGGGAAGTGGGGAGGAGGAAGCTGGAGGTCTAGGAGAGATCACAGCAAGAGAGGCAAGCCTGGGGGGACTGGTCAGGGGCTGCCTTGGGAAGGAAGAGGTTGCCTCCTCTCCTCTGGCTGTTGAGAGCAGGGGTGGTTGGCAATGGGCCCAAGAAAGAGGAGGAGTCCCCCAGTATGGGAAGAGGCAGGGCCCAGAGAAGGGAGGGCTGGTGGGCTGGCTGGCTGGCTAGGAGATCTGAAAAGAGGGACAAGTTTGTATTAACCTGGGGGAGAATGAGGGAGGAAGGCCTAGCTCAGAATAACAATGGAAACAAACCCACTGAACTGGGTTGTTATTTCCATTTTCTCCTGCAGAGCTTAGTCATCTAGTGCTGTTGGGTGGACCTAGGACTGACGTGGTCAAGGACAATTGTCAAGAGAGGATTTGAGGAGGGAATCCATGGGGTCCAGACTTGGTGGGGAAAGTGGCAAGGATACAATGAGCCTGGGAGAAAGGGGCCCACTGTAGATGGGGAGTTGATGTAGATGAGGAGGGTGTGACACAGGGAATAATGGGGCTGTGACTGCAGCCTAGCAAGGACCCCAGGAGTGGCTGGCTATAGAGGGATGGGGTGGTCTTGGGAAGCCAGAGGTGGAATGCCTGAGAGGCCAGGGTGCTGGACAGTGGGAGACAGGGCGCACAATGGCAGCTCTGGGCTTCTCTCAGGAATGCTGGAGAGCAGGCCCCAATCGCTGGCTGGAGCCTGAGGCACCTGTGTAGGTGACAGACCTGGGGCTCAATCTGGCAATTTGACCAGATGAGTCCCTGTCTCTGGCAGAATCTCAGCCCAAGTGGTATTTTTTCTGAGGGTTTGGGCTTGGGCCAGGGCTGGGAGCTGTATCCTCAGAGACAGGTTTCTCATCGGTTCACTCCAGAGGTTACTGTGCGTTGAAAGATGAACCTGGGAGCTAGCTTGTTCCCAACTAGAGCCCAGGTTCAGACCTGCAGGTGAGTCTGGGATGGGAGAGGTTGGGCCGGGCTTTTCAGGCACTAAAGGCTTAGAAATGTTTAGTCTAGCTTAGTCACAACTTGTTGGTGACCCAGGGTTGGCATTTTATCTTCCCTCTCACAGACAGAGCTCAGTGGCTAGTTAAGTGTTTAACAGAGAGCCTGGCAGAGCTGTTGTCTGCCGTCGGGAATGTACAGGGGCCACTCTATCTCCTGAGAGGCGGCAAGAGCAGCAAAGACTTTACTTCCAATCATGTCAGAGCCAGGCAAGGGCCCTTAAAGGATTGCTCCCTAATGAAGAGGATGCCAAAGTGGAGGAGGGAGGGATCCCAGACCACCCGGTAAGCCAAAGTTGGCCAGGAGACTACTGCCACTGGCTCACAAATGCCTCCAAGAGCAAACCAAGTGCTGGGATCCTTGGTAAAGTACAGGGTCAGCCCAGGACTCCGTCACCTCTGTAAAATCACCCAAGACATAGCTGAATGGAGAGGCGAGCCAGGATTAAAATAGCTAAATAAATCTTTAATATTTCTAATTGCAAATGTACAGAAATTGCACAGCCACACAGAATCTTAGAACACCAACAACTTTCTCTGTACATTATTACATAGTTAAAAGTCACAGCTGAAGGGACGAGCTCCAGCCAAACTCCAACATTTGCATTTTTTTCCTTTTCACATACTTACAAAAGGGGAGCATGGGGGCTGTGGGTGGCTTTGTGGCTGAGTGTATAGAAAAGAGCGGGGCTGTTTCCCTGGACAGTCCAGCACCCGCAGATGAATGGGGTGAGGAGAGGTATTACCCCAGGGCAGAGGATCCGGTGGGCAGGGGTGTGTGTGGAGCTCTGCCCTTGGCCCCCACCCACCCCCTCTCTAGGCAGTCAGAAAGTCTTCACCTATGGGAGGTTTGGCAGTTTCCTTCACCCTGAACATAAAAGTTAAGCAAAAAAGTCAGGCTTCAGTGTTGGCAGGGGACAGCATTCTCCAACAGAGCCTGGGTCTTGGTGACCTGGGGACCATGGTTTTCCCTCAGCAAAGACTGTCCTTCTTTCCATTCCCCTGCCCTGTGGGAACTCTGTGGCCTCAGACAGGGGGCCCCCCGCTGTAGGCCCAGTCAGGGCACACATCCCAGCAGCTTCCACCTAGACAGCGTACTGCAAAGCCAACAAATAAATGCCACAGGTGGGGAAAAAACAACCCCAGACCCAAAACTCCTCCTCCTGCCCAATACTGTTCTCTAAGAAATAAAATAAAAACCATTGGGAGAGCAGCAGTCCCGGCCAGCCCTCGGCAGCACCAGGACCAAAGGACTATGTACAACCATTAGGTGAAATAGTTACATTACAGTCAAACACCAAGAACATTTACAAAAATCGCCAGACTTGCAATTAAGATAAAAATCTGTGAAGAGTCTGTACACTTTTACAGTTTTTGCACAGGTAAATAAGGCTCTCGGCCTGAGAGCTCACAACCCACGCTGAGAGCAGCAGCACCAGCCACAGTGCTGGGCTCTGTGCCCTCCTGTCCAGGCCCTGGGAACCCCATCTCTGTATTGCTAAGGGTGCTCAGTTGGAGGTCATTCTATGAGGCATTGGTGAGAGGGGGGTAGGGAGGAGGCACAGAGCTCACTGGGCAGCAGGGGACGAGACTAGAGCCAGGCCCTCCCTGTGTGGCCACCCTGGTCAGAGACACGCAGGTGAAGGTGGGAGCAGGGCAAAAGGGTGGGGCAGGAGGGGCAGGGGCAGGGCTTCAGCCCTTACCTCCTTTTTTTCAGAGGTCTAGGACCCCTGTTGACCCAGCATCTGTCTCTAGCCTAACTGAACTGCAGTTGTATCTAGAAACCTCTTCACAGAGCAGCCGCCTCCCCATCCGCAAGCTCAGGATGGGGTACAGTGTGGCTCTGGGCCATCCCTCCACATTTTTACCCATCAGGGAGGGGACTCTGGCACCTTCCAGCTGCAGGGGCAGAGGTGGTGGATCCTGCAGCTGGCCCAGGCTCAGCTCTGCTGCCTGGGCAAAGACTCTGCCATAGGCCATCCAGGGCCAGAGCTTGGAATATTCAGGGTTGGAGAACAGAAGGGGACCGAGAGAGACCCACACTGCTGCCCATCTATGTCCTGCAAGGGGCATGTGGCAGGCAGCAGATAAGCTGCAGGATAGCCTAGAGCTGAGGAAAACTGCCCCAGCTGTGGGGTGAGCCCCTCCCCTGTCTGCAGCGCCTGGGTCCTTGGCTGGGGGGCCGGGGAGGGTGAGAGGGCCGCCGGCCGCACGCACCAGGCCTGGTGCAGGCTGCTGCTGTCTTGGAGAGGGAGCAAGTCTAACATCCTCCAGGGCCGCTATTTCCCATGCAGTGCGCACGCTCAATTTAAAAGGCCCCTGTGTTCCAGCAAGCGAGCAAGCGGGCTTTTGTTTCTAATGCATACTGTGAAAGGAAAAAAAATCACAGTTATCCACCTTCTCAGGGCCTGCGGGCATTAGAATTTTTTTAAGACCACCAATCAGAGGAGAGATCACCTTTTCTCTCAGGGTGAGTACCAGGTGGCCACTCCCTACAGGGCCACTGTGCCCTGGATGCTCGGGGCCCCAGGAGAAGGCAGATACAATGCATGGTGCCATCTGGCCAGCTCAGCCCAGATCTTTGGCTTCCAGGAGCTCCAGAGCATCACCCTGGGCCCATGTGGAAGGTGTGGGAAGCTGCGGATCCTTCCCACAAGGTGCGACAGCCCAGAAGAAAAAGCCAGGATCCTCACTGGGTCTATTCAGCAACATGACTGAGGACGGGAAGGAGGTAGGGAGTCTGGAGACAGGCACGAGGAGTGGGTAGGTGTGCACCCTCAGGTCCTCACAGTCAGGAAGGGTCCCAACAGGCTGCATGCAGTGGCAGGTGCGTAGGGTGGAGACAGGCAGGGACAATAACCTCCTGTCCTCCCACTCCCAACCCCCACCTGCCAACCAACCTGGCAGATTCCAGGTCCCACAGGGCAGGGCCCAGCCTCCAGGGAGTCCTGGGCTCCCGAGGTAAGGGGAAGCCACAGGAGCAGGCCCCTAGCCCTTTCCTCACCCTCTCTGGGCAGCTCCCTCCCTGCCTCCCTGGTCAGGGTGGGGGAACATGCACTCAGCCAGGACAAGGAGGACAAAGTGACACACCATGTTCGGTAACCAAGAGACATTTGTTTGGCAGGCCCTACTCCTGCCAGGCTGTCCCCACCCCCACGTGCAGTCTCTTCTGCCTGCACCCAACACGCTTCTTGGAAGCGGAGAGGGAGCGGCTGGTGACCCGCCTCACGCTGCTTCAGTCTCTCGCGGCTCCCTCTGTGGCTGCCTCCTGGACAGCGGCGGTGGGGAGGGGAGACTTGGCCTCCTGCCACCCGTGCTGGGGCTGCAACTGTGGGGGCGCCTCCCCAGGCCAAGACCCTGCCCTTGGCCACCAGTCCCCCTCTCCTCAGGCAGGTTAACAATTGCTGCTGTTTCTGAACTCGCCGTTCTCAGTAATCTGCAATTTGGTGGGGTTGGTGGGGGAGACGCCGTTACGCGCTTGCATGCTGTACCTCTCTTTCAGCTGCGTCAGGGCGCTCATGAGGCGGGCGTTGGCGGCATCCAGTGAGGCAATGCGCTTCTCCTGTGAACACAGAGGCTGTTAGCAGGGGCCATGGGCTCCTGGGCCCAAAGGAGGACCATGACACAGGGACTTCCCTGAAGCCCTGTGCACCTATGAGAAGCACAGGGAGGGCAAAGAGGAGGTGGCCTGGAGGAGACACAGGGAACTGCATGTGCTGTTCCCTCTTGAGAGGAAACAGCCCTTTGTGCCACCATGGACCAAGACCTTGCTGACTGCTTCTCATCTCAAACAAGGCAGCTCCAGGGGTGCTAATGGCTGCCCAAGGGCCCTGTGGCAGGCACTCCAGCTCACATATGTGCATGTGACACACACAGAGGTCACAGCACTTAGGCAGTGTGAATAGGGCCTCTTCCTGGGTGAGTGGAGAAGACTGGGGCCAGAGTCCTTGTCACATCTCCATAATGCAGTCTGGAAGCTGCAGCTCTGAACAGGAACCCTGCTGCTAGTGCTACCAGCCACCACATCCTCCAGCCCTCCCCACTCCCGTGCTAGAAGTTTCTGTTCTTTAGTCAACATCCTAGGTGAAAGACAATATCTACCAAGTGCCCCCATCAGAAAAGGAGCTGTCCCTCCCCTTTCCCAGCCCATCCTAATAAACTCGTGACCCACTGAGACCACAGGCCTAGTTTCTCAGGGCAGAGATCCTGGTCTCTTACTCCACTTCAGTTCTTGCAGTGAGGTTTGAGGATATGGAAAAGCCAAGGTCACCCCCACCTAATCCCAAGTGGCTGACCAAAGGCCAGAGCTCCCACCTGAGCATCAATGATCTTCTGTTTGGAGTCTACAGCTGCCTGCATCTCTGCGTGGTCCTTCTTCAGTTCTTCCTCTACAGACATCAACCTGTGACCAGTGACAGGACAGTCAGGCTGGCCCTGCAGCGAGCAGACTAGGGGATGTCATAGGAATACACCGGCACTCCCGCACAGAGGTGTCTCCTAGTGTGAGGCTGTGCTCCCTCCTCACCTCTGCTCCACACCCCAACCCTGCTCCCAAGCCCCGGAAAGCCCTGGGGCAGCTACCTCCCTGAGGGAGGGGGTTCACACAACAGGACCAGACAGCTGAAGGTCAGGCAGGCCTTGCTGATTTTCTTCCAGGAGCCAACATGAATGGGGTGGAACTGAGACCCTCACAAGTCCAGAGCAAGGCAGGTGATGCTGTGCTGTAGCACCCGTGATACGGTAGGAAAACGAAGGTCCTGAAAGGCTCTGGAAGTTTCTCCACCTCCTGCCCAACCAGAGTCGCTAAGGTTGGGTGGGCTCTGTGCTGGACACTTGAGGTGCCAAGATGAATAAAGTCTAGTCCTTCCCCTCAGGAGTTCACAGACATGCAAACGGTGGCCACCCCTGCACTGAGGCAGCTGTGCTAGCAAGATCTTGGGTTCACAGAGCACAGAGCAGGAGGCAGCTACCTCCCTAGGGAAAGGGGGTTCACACAACAGGACCAGACAGCTGAAGGTTAGGCAGGTAGGCTCCGTTCCTGGCTGTTTCCTTCCTGAGAGCCTTCTTGGTCCCTGCTACCTTCCCACTCTCTTTCCTTTGGCTCTGGGACCCCATATTCTCAGGGTTGCCTGTCTTCCCAGATGCCTTGTCCTGTCTGCCCCAGGACACAACAGTTCCACCAGGCTCTGGTCTTGCTCTATGTACTCTTCTCAGATGAGCCCATTGACGCCCAAGGTTTCTTTCTATCCCCTACCCTCTCAACTCCTCTGGCTCAGGGCAGCCTCCCCATAGCAGGGCAAGCACAGTGCCCATTCACTGCAGACGCAAGAGAGCAGCAGTGCCAGGCAGGCTGTGTGCAGGACTGCCATGACGGTAGCAAGCAGGAGGGGCTGCGGCCTGTGAGTGCGGTTCCCTGGTAAAGGGAGGTAAGACACTGAGAAGACTGTGTGTGAGGGATAGTAGATTAGACAGTATTGTTCAGGGAAATGACACTGGAAGGGGACAGATTTACTCTCGTCTTAAACAATCAAACTAGAAACTGGACACAATATCCAAAACAAAGGTTTTCAGACATCAAGTAAGGAATGATCCTAAAAGAAGGGAAACCCACAAACTTAGCCCAGCTTGTGGCCTAGAAGGAGGTACGTGGGTAGCCAGCAGCCTCGCTGAGCTAAAAGAGGGGGTTCAGGAAGGTCAAGGTGCAGGATTTGAGGTCAGAACATCAGAGGGAAAAAAAATGAAGAATGCCATGCACCTCCCAAAGGGGACAGTGTCTTTGACTGAATAATGATCTGCATGCAGGTGAGAAAACCACCAGCCTCGGCAAGAACCACTGGCAAGGAGTCCACGGAACACTGCGTTCCTACCAGCCAGAATGGTAAGATGTACTAACACGGGACATCAAACAGAATCCCCAGAAGAAAAGGGCCTCAACAGAGGGGCCAAATCAGGCTTATGGACTCTGCAGGACCCACCCTAACAAAGCTTAAAAGCAAACCTCAAAAGGATTAAACTGATTCCAAGTTACCTCATTGTATCCCAGAACAAAGCCCAGAGTATTTAAACAAACACAAAAACATCTAGCACCTGATTCTGTAAAATTCACAATGCCTGGCATCCAGCCAAAAATCACCAAATATGCAGAGAAGTAGGAAAATAAAACTCATCACCATGAGGAAAGCTAATCAGTAAAAACAGACTCAGATGTCATAGGGGATAAACTTAGCAGACAAGGACACTGAAACAACTACCATAAATACATTCTACACATTCAAGAAAATAGAAGGATGAGCATGATGAACAGAAAAATGGATGGAATTTAAACCAATGAAGCTACAGAGTGAAAAATTATCTGAAGCAAAACAATACTAAGTTTAACAGCAGATCAGGCATTGAAAAAGAAATGATTAGCAACTTGAAGACACAATAATAGAAATTATCTAAGATAAAACATAGTGAAAAAAACGAAAAAAGGGAACAACAGAACATCAGTGAGATGTGAACAACATAACATAATGCAGCCTGATGTACTGGGGGGAGGTGAGATGGTATATACTTACACCTACAAATCCAAGACCCAAGACACTGAAAGAAAATCAGCCCAAGGCATATCACCATCAAATTACTTATATCCACTGATGAAGGAAAATACCTTATGAACAGCCAGAGACAAAAGATACTCTAAGTACAGAGGAACAAAGATAATGAGAGAGTCCCTGTGACGGTGGCCTGAGAGGAAGGGCCAAATCTGACCCACTGCCTGTTTTTGTAAACTGCCGTCTCACACGGAGTTAAATTGCTGCAGGAGTAACCATCCAGCCTGGAAATCCTTAAATATGTATAATCTGCCCCTTTTTAGAAAGTTTGCCAACACCTGCCATAGAGCAGCAAAGAGATATAGCCAGTAAGCCAATAAAAGAGATAAAATGAAATCACAAAAAAATAATACTAAGTCCAAAAGAGTATAGGAAATAAAAGGAAGAACAGATGATACAAAAAGGAAACAAACAACAACATAACAGATTTAAACATAATTATATCAATAGTTACATTAAATGTAGATGGTCTAAACACTCCAATTAAAAGATAAAGCCTGTTAGATAAAAGGCAAGACCCAGGCCGGGCATGGTGCAGTGGCTCACGCCTGTCATCCTCTGGGAGGCCCAGGTGGGTGGACTGCCTGAGCTTAGGAGTTTCAGACCAACCTGAGCAAAGCAAGACCCCTTCTGTACTAAAAATAGAAAAACTAGCTGGGCATTGTGGAAGGTGCCTATAGTCCCAGCTACTCCAGAGGCTGAGGCAAGATCACCTGAGTTTGAGGTTGCTGTGAGCTATGCTGATGCCGTGGCACTTGCCTCCAAAAAAAAAAAAAAAAAAAAAAGCAAGACCCAACAATAAGATGCTTGTAAAAGAAATATACAGACGAATGCTATGGTGTGAATGTTTGTTTCCCCCTCCAAATTCATATGCTGACACCTAAGCCCCAAGACAATGATCTCAATAGGTGGGGCCTTTGAGAGACCCTGAGGTGAATGGGGAGGGTGAAGGGAGCTTATTCACCCTTTCTCATCATGCAAAGACACAGCAACAAGGCATGATACATGAAGTAGAGAGAGAGCCTTCAGCAGACAAAGGCTGCTGGCATCTTGATTGTGGACTTTCTGCCTCCAGAACTGTAAGCAATGAATTTCTGTTTATAAATTGCCTGGTCTAAGGCATTTTTTAACAGCAGTCTGAATGGACTAAGACAGTGGGTTAAAAGCATAAGGATGGAAAAAGATCTATCACACTAACACTAAACAAAAGGAAACTAGGGTGGCTATATTAGTACCATCAGAAAGTGTAGATTTCAGAGAAAGGAATATTATGAGAGATGAAGACAGGTGATTCTATAATGATAAAGAGGTCAGTTCATCGAAAGTTCATAACAAGGCTAATGTGTATACACCTAAGAGTAGAGTTTAAAGCAAAAGCCAAGAGAAGTGAAAGAGAAATAGACAAATCCATAATTATGATTAAACATTTCAATATCTTGTTCTCAGTAATTGATGGAACTAAAGTAAACAAGTACAGAGAAAAAACAGTAAGGATACAGAAGATTTGAACAACAGTGTCTGCCTAATTGACATTTACAATAGGGGAGAAGTATGCAGGATTGGTTAGTAGAAACACAGGCTTTAATAAGCCCCTGAATTAAGGATAGCATATACCTCTCAGTCAAAAAAACACAGTAAGCAGAAGGTGGCTAGATTGAAAAGTGTTTCTGTCCTTGGAACCACACACAGGAGGTGAGCCAAGAGCAGAGACGAAGGTCAAGTGAACAGTCAGTTTCTAGTCCTTCTAGTTCTCCTTAGGTTAACCATTCTACAGCGAGCAAAACCACAAGTAAATAAAGCAAACAGCCAGGAGGATAGAAACAGGTGCTCCACCAGGAGGAATTTCGGAAGGGGGACTTCCTGGTTCCTACACACCAGCTCAGTCTGTCCAGATGCTAGGGTCTTAGGCACTACACATAAATAAGATGTAAATAGACACTGGCTCTCCTCCAGCACCTGGTACCACTGTCCTAACCAGGGCTGGAACCCTGTGGGCTGACTGCACTCCCACCTGCAGACACCGAGGAAGTTGTGCCCCTATACACGGGTGGAGACACGGGAGAATCCACATGGGACCCGACACACGCCCCAGTTAGCCCAGGCACCTCACAACTCAACCTGTCCACACTGGCATCCCCATCCCACGCCCTCCCCACCCAAACTGTCTCTTTTAGTTCCCTATCTCAGCAGCCAGTACCCTGACACACCCACACCCAGGTGCTCCCAGTAGAAATCTGGGGGTTATTTATTCTACATACTTCCTCCCACCTGTGGCCACTGAATGTGACATTCACTCCCACTTTTCCTGCCCTGAATAGGGTCCTTACTGTTTTTCCCAGCACGTGAATCCTGCTCCTAAACTCCCTGAGAGCTTCACAAGGTGCTATGACACAGGGTGGGTGGCAGACCCTCCGGGAACCAGCATTGGCTTGTCCAGCCTCTGCCAACCCCAACTCTGCATCCTGCCACCAACCGGCACCTCAGTGCAGGGCTTCACCCTCTCTAGTCCTCCTGCCCACTGCCTGCCCAGGTGCATGGCCCACCTGCTGATGATGCCCTTCATCTGGATGTCCTTGTCTTCCTGCTGCCGCCGTAGCCGCTCCTCACCCTCCTCCAGCCTGGCCTGGTACTCCAGCACCAGCTTCTGTGTCGTTTCCTCCTGGCACTTGAACAGGGTCTCGTATTCCTCCAGCTTCTTGGTGGAGATCCGTAGCTTGTCCTGCAACACCGCCAGGTCCTGCCAGGAGGGCAGCGTGCCACGGGCACAGCACCCAGGATGGAGAGAGCATAGCTTTGTCAGCCTGAGCAGGAGGACAGTATGGCTGTGACCCCACCAACTTCACAAAACAAAGGTGGGCTGCAGCGAGACACAGCCTGTCCCTCACCCCAGACCTGTGCACTATGAATACTCAGTCTGGTCTGTGTGATCATGGGGGGATGAAGACTCGGACCCAAACCTCAGGAGTAAGGGTGTAACCAGAGCCCTGGCACTTGAACAGGGTATAACAGGTTAGAGAACACCTGGATATACGAAGGACACGTGACAGCACTCAGGGGTGGGGGCTCTGCAGGAGGGAAACTGAGGCTCAGACAGATGACCACATCACACAGAGAGTGACTGACCAGGAGGATGAGATCCTAGCTTTCCAGCTTCTGAATGGGGTGATGGCGACATGGGGGAATGGGGAGAAAGAGGAGGAAGGCCAACTGGTTTAGGCTCTCTGGACTTAGCTGAACATGGACCTCAGCCTTCAGGGTGGAAAAGGAACTTATGAGAGGCTGGGGAGCTGAGCAGACTCAGAAAAGCCAGGTGCTGTAAGAACATAGGAGCTGAGGGAGGGAGGCAGGGGCCTGGGGTGAGGCCGGGAATCCTCACATCCGTCCTGTCCCTCATCCCCTTCACAGAATTATGGTAAAAGCAGGTGGATGCAGAGGCCCAGGGGGATGGTGGTGGGTGGCAGGATGCAGCATGGAAATGGAGCTCGACAAGGCCAGGGAGAGGGTGGTCTGCCACCCTGACCCAGTGCCTGTGCTCGAGAGGCTGCTATAGGCTTTCCTGGGCCCAGACAGTGGAGACAGGCCTGCTGTTTGGGGATGGGGAGCCTTGCTCTGGGTTTTCTACCTGTCTATCTGGACTTTGACCCCTGCAGGGGGGAGACGAGAACTATATCTGGACGCAGGGGGGCTGCCACAACTGGAAGGTGTCATTGGACAGTCAAAACACCTGTTGCCCCACCCAATGTCAGATATGTGTGGTGGGTGGGATCTGAAGACACCCTGTGGCAGTCTCACCCAGCCCTCACCCTGCTACCTGCTGTTTCTTCCCCAGGCCCTAGTGGAGACCAGAATGCAGAAGAGTCACCCCTTGTTGGGGGTGGGGGGAAGAGTGTGCCTTCTCAGGTATCTCAGGGGCCCCTGCCATTGCCTCCTCATGTAGAAGGCTTCCCCAAAGGGTCTCCAGCCACCTCTTTGGCACCTCCACTCCTCAGTCACCAGGGTGAGGAGCCCTCCCACAGTCCCACCATAGGGGTCCCAGGAGTCTGTATCCAAGACCAGTCCCAAGTGACTCTGAGTTGCAGAGGAAACTGTGGATCTAAGCTAAGTCTCTCTTGCTGCTTTACTTCCAGATCCTGATGACCACTGTCCTCCCATGAGGCATGGGACTCAGAGGCACTGGCTATGCATAAGACAGTGATGCCCCCTCACTGGGGCTCTGCCCGACTTCTGGGGTCCAGCTTTACCTTTTCTGCTTGGCTGAGCTCGTCCTTACTCCTTAGCCTATCCCTGGGGGGGGGATCTGGGCCCAGGCCCTCGTCTTCTAACAACTGCGCGTTCATGGTCAAAAGCCACGCGGCCGTGCGGTCCAGGGCATTGGGGCTCACGGGTGAAGGGCCCTACAATGAAACACAGCTGTGAGGGGCTGGCAGGAGGAAAGGGAGGGCAGGAGGGGTGAGTGTCACCAGGTGAGCTACAGGGACAAGTGGCAGCTCAGGGGCAAAGAGGGAAGGGTAGGACCCCCGACTGAGCACCTACCACTGCAGCCCCCACCCATGGAACTGTCTCCCACACGGGCGCTGCACTCTGCTGCTGAGGTGACAGGGAATGAGCGAGTCTGCTGTTGGGGGTGCCAGCAAGGGAGCTGAGGGGTGCACAGCAACTGGGCAGTCAGCCTAAAGCACATCGGCTTCACACGTTGCCTGCAGCCTGTGGGTGATGGAGATAACCCAACCTACTGGCAACCCAGCCTGGGAAACCTTGCAGCTAGGTCAATTCCAACTTTTGGCCATGGAATTAACTAGAGATGGATGGACCCCTCCCTCTTTCTCTCCCATCCCTGGGGGAACCAGTAGAGGGGCCTGGAGTTCCTTGGGAAAGGTCTCCCTGGTTCAGAGGATTCAGTCAGGAAGAGTGAGACCCAGAGGGAGGGGGTGGTGGCACGCGGCAGGCTGGTGGGATGGGGCTGGACGCAGTGTTGCTCGCATGGAATGGCAGCCAGGTGCAGGTGCAGGTGGGATGACAGGGCAGGAGCATGATGTGGGGAGTGTTGGCCTGACTGTGCTTGAGAGCCCAGCCTTGCCCTCTGACCAGTGGCACTGACCTGCTTGTGCACTGCCCGTGGCTTCAGCTCCGGGCTGTCCCCCTTGGAAGAGGAGGACTGCTGCCGCAGCCGGGCACCAGGACCTGCCCAGTCAGGTGAGGATGACGCCAGAGTTCCGCTCGAGGGTCGTGGGTACTGCAGCGTGCTCAGCAGGTTGGGAGGTGTCCGGCCACGGGGGGCAGGAGGCGGTGGAGGGGGTGGGGGTGGGGGCTGGTCGATCCTCCGCTGGGGGCCAGCACTGTTCTGCCGTGGCACCGTGGGCTGCCCGCCCTTCTCAGTCAGTGACATCTGCCGCCGTGCCAGCTCTCCAGGCCGCCGCGCCAGCTCCTCTGTGGCAGTGCTGAAACTTCCCAGCTTGGCAGCGGCTGCCAACTCCTCACTGTTGCTGTGAGAGCTCAGGGAGCTGTGGCCCTCAGAGCCTGAGTCGCCAAGGCCACGGGGCGACAGTGGCAGGCCAGCAGCCATTTGGTACACAGGGTTCTGGAAGGAGAGTGGTGCCAACAGCTGGGGCCGGCCTGGTGCGCCCTCGGAAGTGCCTGGCGTGGTCGGTGTCTGGCCTGCCCGCCGTACTGTGGCCAGCCCTGCCAGGTTCACTGGGGCTGCCCGGGCCGGCCACCCAGCCACCAACTGAGTTGCAGTTGCTTGCCCATCGGCAGGGAGGACGTCAGGACCCACGGGGGAGCCCGCCTCCCCGTCCAGCGTGCGGGTATCTTGGAGGTCCACCATGGACAGGCTCTTGCCACCGTTGGCCATCTGAAGGTCAGGCTCGTTGGCTTCCGAGTAACTCGAGCTGCGGGCAGGTGAGGGCTGGACCCCGGAGGACCTTGTGACAAAAAACAAGTCCTTGTTTTCGGGGGTTGGAGACGGTAACCGGGTGAAATCTATCAGACTGCAGGGAGACAAGCACACACAGGGAAAGAAGGGGAAAAGAAGAACTGTGAATGCAGTCACAGTGGGTCCAACCCGACAGCACCCGCCAATCTGCAGGAGCCTACAGCCCGAACCAGGGCTGGGGGGAGCAAGGTGCTGGGGTGGCAGCAGTGGGAGAGTCCAGGGCCAGGGGCCAAGACGGCTGCTCCTGCACAGTCTCTGCTCTAGGGGCCAGTGCAGCTTGCTCCAGGCCAGGCTGCCTGGCAGCCCCTTTCCTTGCCTTGCTGCATCTTGGAACAGCAGGTGCTGGGGTACGGGGTGCTCTGGACAACTGCCCTCGGCTAAATCCAAACCCACTGCTCAGTGGCTCTCTGCTGTCCACGGTCCTGCACGGAGAACTCCACATTCACAGGCACTAGGGCTCCCTCTGCCTCCTCCCTCTCGCTCCTAATCAGACTGATAACCCAGGCAGGAGCCTGGTGAAACCTCCTCTTGCCCAGCCTCCTGATGCCACTCCCTTGTTTGACTGACAGGCGGGGGCTAGAGTTCCTGGCAAAAACAAGGAATCCAAGGAGGATCTGTGAAAGGCATGACTCATCCAGAAGGTCTGGGAGGGGGAGACCAGGGTCTGAACCTGCAGGCGCAGGCTGTCCTAGCCCTCAGCCTGCCGCATGCCCCGGCCACCTCCTCACCCTTGTCTTCAGCCTCTCTCTTGTCCCCCCAGCCCCATGGAAGCCAGCTCCATGGTAGAAAACACAACTGTGGTGGGGGCTGGGGGGGACTTTGGAGGGAAGAATGTGGGGGTGAATTGGCAGCAAGGGCTTGGTGGGGCTTCGCATGTACAGCGAGTTGGCTTTATCTCAGGTGGAGAGGAAGCCTTTGGTAGTGTCCCCAGGGACCTGGGGACCCTGGGCTCCCAGGCTAGGAAGAAGTGGATGAGGCAGCACATGGAGTAGGGAGAAACATAGACGAGGCCAGGGTGTAAGGCTGCCTGCCCAGGCCTGGTCTTCTCTCAGCCACTAAGGTGAGTCCCCAGCTGAACTCTCACCTCAGGACTGCTCTCCTTTACCAGGCAGCTTAAATGAACAGACCCCCAAGCAAGCTCTGCATCTGGGGCCTCCCCCTGGGCACCACACCCTCCTCTGCTTAAAAGCCTGCTTGAACCAGACCACACTCCCAGCACTGCTAAAAACAGTGCCTGGCAGGAGAGGGGAAGGAAGGAATGGAACAGAAATGTTTCAATATAAACTCCATGTTTCTTAAAGGATTGTCCCGTTTTGACTTCAACATTCAAGAACATTATGCCTCCTACTCCACCGTGTGTGTCTTATTTACACCAAGTAGAACTGCGTCCTGGGGTGGGGTCTCAGCATCTCTCCCTGTTTTCTGGGGCTCCCAATCTCAAAGTCTGGCAAACACTTGAATTCCTTTTGAAAAATACACTCCTAAGCACTGCTTCTGGAGATTCTGACTTAGGCCCAGGAAAAATCAGGAACATGGGTATTTTTAACAAATACCAGGTGATCTGGAAATGCCAGAGGTATCTGGGACCAGAAATTCCTCTTCAACACATCACGGTATCTCTCTCTGGGTCTTTGCCTGTGCTTGCCCTCTATCTACCATGCCTTTTCCAATGGAAATGCTACTTTACCCAAAACACTCAAAAACTACAACACCTTTTCCTCCAGGAAGCCGCCTCTGATTTTTCTGAAATGCAGGTTCACTACTTGGGGCCAGCAACCATACAATTCAAGTCTCACCAAGCTTGTTCTATAAACCCTTATGTAGGCATTCTTTTCCCCATCTGAAACCACAGATGGGATGTGTCCGGTCTGTACATGCACCCACCACACCCAACAATGCCTGGCAGCTCTTACCCAGAAAGATCATTCTCAATCACCATCTTCTGCAGCCCAGCTGAGATGCTACTGCTGCCGGAACCTGGTGTAGAGGCCAGGTCATTGGTCCCTGTGAGTTGCCCACTGCCTGGGGTGCTCAATGCTGTGTGGACATCCCTCAGGATCCGAGGCAGAGGTCCCAGTTTAGACACAATGCTCTGCAAAGACACATCAAGAGGCAGGCGTGACTCCCTGGAGCCACTTGGGGAGGTTATAAGCTGCAGCCACTGTAGTGTCTCTGAGAAATGCAGAGCCCTGCCTGCTGCTAGTCAGATCCAGCAGGTCTGGAAGCGAGAGACCAAGAATCTGTAAATCTACACCTCTTACCAGTTCCCTAGATACCTCTGGAGTAGAAGCGGGGAGCCCATAGGGAAGGTGCTGGCCTAGCTGATAAAACCTTGCATCCTAGTTTGTCCTGCCCCAATGCTACCATAGAGAAGAAAGTACAGGTGGAATCCTAGAATTTCCATCGTAGCTATACCTCTCCATCTAAGAGGCTTCTGTGACAGCCCCTCCCACATCACCTACTCCATGGGATGGGCTAGGGCCTGACTGACTTTGGCACCTAAACCCCTGTGGAGATGGTACAGACACAGACCAGGCACTGCCAGAAGCTGGGCAGACAAAGGGCAGTGCCCTAGTCCATCTGTGGTTTAGACATGGTACTAAGGGTTCCAGGCCATGGGGCTGAGCTGGAGGAGGGGGACACTGTCTTTGCTTGCTTATGCACAGAGGATTCTGTGTAAAAACAAAGCATGAAAACCTGTCCAGCCAAAAGACAGACTTGAAAGGCAAACAGCCTCATTTCCAGTTCCTGTTGCAGCTATCCCCTGTGATAACCCTAATGACCTTACTTCCTGCCTGGCTGTGCATACATGGACAGTGACCAGCATAGGGGTACAATAAGTGGTGGCAGACAGAGTCACCGATATTGGCTATAGCATGGAGCTTGGGGCTCACATTTCCAATCCCCTCTCCTGCTTCTCACAGCCAAAGGCCAAAGGGATACAAATGAGCAATGATGATGGCCTCGGACTACAACATCACTGGTTTCTAGTGCAAAGTCAGGACTAACCGAAGCACCCATCACTAGGGGACTAGTGAAATGAACTGCACTCACGTGATGGAATAGTCTGTGGTCGTTAGTACGCACTGACATGCCAGGGTGCCCACAAGAGTGGGTAAGAAGGGCATAAGGCAGTGTATATAAGTTCTCACTTTACAGCAAACTTAAAAAAAGAAAGCTGGCTCATACCTCTAGTCCTAGATACTCAAGGAGCTGAGATGGGAAAATGGCTCAAGTCTAAGAATTCAAGGCTACATGGGGGCTTTGAATGTATAACTGCACTTCAGGGTAAGACCTTGTCTTTTAAAAAGTGGTGGGGGGGAGAGGAGGGGGACACTTGTTGTGCCTGCATGTGTGTGTACTTACACATGCATAGAATGTGTCTAGAAGGCTGCATATCACCAATGCTCTGGGTGGTCGCCTTTAAGGAATGGGACCAGGTGACACAAAAGGTATTCTGGGCTGGTTTTGACATTAATTTTGTAAGGTGGTCCCACGGAACCTTAGGAAGCAACAGATATCCCCAAAGTGGTTCTTGGCAGGCCCAGCCCCTAATTCTAAGAAACCTGTTCACTGTGTGGTCCTAGGCCAATAGTTAGTGAAATGCAGGGTGGGGATTACAGGTAACTGCAGCCATGTCAGAGGGCTCTAGGGAATAACCTCGTCAACTTGTGGTCAAGGGTGATTCTAGAAAAGTTTCCAATTTCCTGATAAGTAGAGGCCCAGGGTTCTGACTCATCTTTCTTAAGTGCAGCTTCAAACTCTGACCCTGTTTCTCACATGCACTCAGGCAGGGAGTATGCGCGCACATGTGGCACTCACCCACCTAAGGCTGAGTACACCAGGCACAGCCCACACCCCAGTCCCCAAAGTGGGGCTACTATGGCAGGTGCTGGTGAGTGGACGTGGTACTTGCCTACAGAAAAAAAATGGAGCACACAGATCCCTGGTGTGTCCTGACAGGGTCTGGGCTGCTGCTGAAGTCACACAAGTGAACACTCTGCCTCATGGTTACTCTGGAAAGAGGAACACTGTGAGCTCTATGGTGGCCTTTGGTCCCACCCCCTGCCCCATGGTGGTGACAGGCACCTGCTCCAGCTGGCTGATGGCCTCCCAGAGCAGCGAGTGCAGGCTGGAGAGCTCGCGGCCTAAGTCGATGTAGCCTTCAAAGCCAGCGGTGTTGGAGATGGTCTCAGGGTTGGAGATCTCCAGCAGGAAGCGCTGCATGTTGGTCCACTCGTGCTCCAGGAACTGGTTCATGAAGGACATGTATTCCTCCTTGCTGCCAAACCTGAAAAGAGGGGCAGACAGGGTAAGCGCCCATGGCAAGGCAGGCCCCGCCAGGTGCTCCCTTCCACACATGTGCCCAGTCCTCAGCTCCCACCATACTGCACCCACTGTGGCCAACTCCCACCATGCTCTCTTCTCAACTCAGTTGAACCTGCACTGACCCAGGTCACCAGGGTCCTCCTTCCTCACAGCCAAGTCCAATAACCATTTTTTCAACCTTTCATCTCAGGACGTGGATGTTCTGTGTTCCCCATCTACTGCCTGTCACAGTGTCCTTCTGCTCTGCCTCCAAGCTTCAGTGTCCTGGTACCCAGATGACTCTCAAATCCATGCTCAGCTCAGGCCTCTGCTGAGCTTTCAGACAAGTATGTCCACAAGCAGCTCCCCCTGCGAGTCCCTCCTACTCAGCCTGGCCAAGTCTGAAGTCATTGGTGACAGCCATGCCCTTCTGTCACCCATGCCCTTCTCCTGAGCGCTTTACCCTAAGGGGAGACCCCACCATCTGCCCAGACCCTGCCCTTCCCCTGAGCTCTTTATCCTAAAGGGAGACCCCACCAACTGTCCAGATACCCAAGCCAGAGCCCTCCCTCTTCCTTATTACCAAACATCAAGACCTCCTGACTTTACCTTCTGAAAACTTGGACCTCGTCCCTTGCAGCTATTATACCCTGCACAACCTCTTCCCCATTTTCTGCCATTTTTGTCAGAACCACAACTGTGCCCTCCTCCCTGACCTCCTGGCTGCTGTAGTGTTCCCTCCAACCCAGTGCCGTTGAGGCAATTTTCCAGGATCCAGAACAGAGGAGGGCTATCCTCTCTCTTGATTAACACCCTTCAGTGGATCCCATTGCCCTGCCTGGCCATCAGGTCTCCTCACCTGCTTCTCCTGCCTGGTACTAGATGGCACAGCCACAGCAGAGCCCAGCTTCTGCTCCCTGTCATCGTTGAGACAATGAATGCCTCATCCTGACACACAGCTGGGAGTCTGTGTCACCTTAGAGGCTACTCTGTCTGCTCTCCCAACAAGCTCAGAGCCCTCCTAAGAGACTAGTATACACCTATCACTCCTCTGCTGCTTATTCAACACATGTCCCCAGCTAAAGTGCTGAGCTCCGCTAGGGCTGGGATCAGGGCTAATTCCCTTGTGCCACCAGAATCCATCACAGAGATGGCCCCGCAATGGGGCACAAGCCACGCTCTGAGAACACACACAGATGAGATGACCTGGCCTTTGCCCTTCCACCTGCTCACTCTTAGACTGCAACTGAAAACACCAGAAGTGCTTTATGAGAAAAGACATCCTGACAGCACTAAGCCAGGACAGTATGCAACGATCTGAGTACCCAACCACAGGGGATGAATTAAGAAATATGGGTCACTCTCCCTTGGAGGAATATTAGTCATTTATTTCAAAATAGAGCTTATGAGTGTCCAGGGATATGGGAGAATCCTTACAATAATGTTACTTTTAAAAAGCAGAAGAAAAAAGTGTCTTATTTTCACACCTCTAAAAATTAGGAAACATACCAAAACGACACGTACTTTTAGTAGGAGAAGGACAAGGAGTGGAGCTCTTATTCTGACAAAAGGGGAGGAGAACAATGGGGGACAGCAAGGCGAGGGGCCTCCCCAGGGACTCCAGTCATACCAGACTCTGCTGGTGGGAAGGAGGTACTCACTTGGCAAAGTTGGCCAAGTTCTGGGTAACCTTGGCGATGAGGGTGAGGGTGCGGGCAGTGCGGTCGTCAGGGTACTCCTGCAGCAGGTTGAAGAGCGAGGGCGACATGATGGCTGGGCAGAGGAAGCGCAGGAAGAGGGAAGCGCTGATGAGCCGCTCGCTGATGTCTGGCCGGCCTCGGCTGCTGCATTCCTGCCGCCATGAGGCGAACACCTCTTTCAGCTCCCGGGGGAAGACACTATGCAGGGACAGACAAGGGTGGGCTTGGTCATCAGGCAGGGGCTCAGGACAAGAGGGTGCACAGTGGGCACTTGACTCTGGGTCCAACAGAATCCCATATCCCAACCTCAGCTCTGCCTCGAAACTCAGCACAGGACTGGCCAGTGTGCTGGGGGCAGAGGAGCAGCAGGAGACCCAGGCTCCTGCCAGGGCGGCAGGCTCTCAGCAAAGGGGTGAGCGGGCAGGGAGGGGCTGAGAAGGGGCAGGCTCTCTGAATCAGGTGGAATCCCTGGCAAGGGCCAGTGCTGAACCGCTTCTCCCCATCTCCCCCAGTGCTGGATTCATGCTGAGACCCAAACATCAGGGGCAAGGGGAGTGAGGAAAACACAATAGGAACAGCCTACTATTCCCTGGGTTTCCATTGCCGGTTTTTGAAACTCACTCTTTCTGCTTGAGTAAAGGAATCCAAGGTTTCCTGTAGAGCTCAAAATGACCAAGAAGATAGGAGCACCCTTGACCACAGGGAGAAAAAGATAGCTCTCCATCTCTAGATGTGGAAGGAAAAGGAGGTGGCCACTTCCCCAGGGTGAAGACAGGGTAGAGCTGGCTCCTGGCTCCACTGGGCATCCTAGCCTGCCATGGTTAGGCCCTACCTGACTGACTTTTGTGTGGCTCTCCTATCTCTTTACCTTAATAGAGGTGCCTCCTACACTGGGGCAGCTGTGGCCCCACTGCCCCCTGAAGCCAGTCTGTACTGGCTCTGTCACCATCTCAGCCCAGTGTGATCTGACCAAGACCCTGGAGCTCCTGGGCTTCGATTTCCTCTCCCTCATACCGAGAGCAAGGCCCACACTGCCAGGCTCATGGAGCCACCTTAATGTTTTCTCAAAGCCTAACGGCCGATTCCCCTGGATCTCAGCAATAAACACTAGCGAAACTAGCAAAGGCATGCCTGGAAGGGAAGTGAGGGTGGACAGTGAGGGTGGCCCCATAGTGCCTGGTACAGGACTGGGCAGGGGGCAGGCGCTGAGTGGTGATATCTATCAATGGCCTTGTCCAGAACAGAGGTGCCTCCGACAAATGCCAGCAAGAGGAAATGGAAAATCGTTGTCCTCAGCTTTGTTTTCCCCGTGTCCCACACCCAGCACCCCCACCCTGAACAGTGAGGTGGAGGGTAAAGCATAGCCTGGATGGCGTGGCAAGTGAGAAGTGTGTTCCCACAGGGGTCAGGGCCCCTGGGCTTCCCTCTGTCCATAGGCCCAGGGGTGTGCAAAGTTGTATATTTGCAACCCAGCCTGATGGCCCCAGACAAGCACCTAACTCAGCCCAGGGCTGAGGGACCTGAGCAGGTGGATCACGACACTCCTAGCCTCAGGTCCTTCCCTCCACCCCTTTCCCAGGACGGCTCCTTACCTAGCAGGCCTGTCTCTATCTGTCTTCTAGGAACAGCAAACACTTCCCCGGCCCTCCTGTGTGCCCAGTCCTGCCTGAGCTGGAGTATCTGCCTGTCCCCAGATGTCCCCAGCATGTGCAGGACAGAGATTCAGACACAGACCCATAGACACAACCCATCCTGAAGGGACCAGGGCTTCGAGAGAGGACACCCTTCAACAGAAACCAGATGGATGAACTGACACCATCTGGTGACCTGAAGGAGCACCACAGAGGGAATGAGGTATAAGGCTCAGAGCCAGAAGGGCAGGAGTGCATGCAGGTTCAAGTGTGGGTGAGAGAGGCTGAAGCTACAAAGGAGCAAGGCATGGATTTGGAGCGTGAAGGGAGGTGGTGTCAAGAGGGGCTGTGGACAGATGCTTGGAAGGGCAGGGGACGTAAACCTTGAGCTGGGGGGATGGGGGGGTGATACAGTCTAAAACCCGGGTAGCTCCACCAGTGTGAAAATAAATGCACTGCCTGGACTGACAGCAAGGTCCTCCCAGACAGTCCCACAGGCCACCAGAGCATGAGGCTGTATTTGGCACCAGCCTGACCATCACATGTGTACCTCAGAAGCAAGTAGGTGGCTAGAAGTCCGCCTTGATTCCAGCCCTGACTGCATTCCTCTGTGACTATTCCTGCATACCCTGTTCCTTTCAGAGGCTGCAGCTGCCTGTAGACTCTGCCTTCCCTACAATCCCATTCTCCCTTCTTTTTGTTCTCTAGTCCCAGTGGGAGGTCTGGCTGGTGCTCAGGCAACAAAACATGCTCCAGCTGGGCATGATCACCAGGGACAAGTGAGGTTAAGCCATCCACCTGGCCCAAGCAGGGCCTAGTCAGTCTGCTTAGGCTACAGCACCTATACCAGCACCCTGGGCAGGGTACTCACTAATCAACACGCACAGACAGCCGTGCCCAGGTTGCTTCTACTATGGCACCATAAAAACCATGTCCTGTGGGTATTCTGAGCATTTCCCTATATCACAGAATCCAAGATGGATCAGGTTGGGCAACTGGCAATTCAGTGAGCCTCAGTAGGGTCAGGCAGTGGGCACCCTGACATGGAGGGATCAGTAAGAGTACAGCGGGTATTGTAGAGCTTGCACTGACCAGTAGGAGTTGATGATCTTGCAGAAGGCGAGTTCACAGCACATCTTGAGGTTGCCTTGGTGCTCAGGGAGGTCAGCAGCTGAACACTTGCTGGGGTCCACTTCACAGTTCTCATCTGACTCATACAGTGCTTTGATGAACTCGCCTGTGCCAGGTGGACAGGAAGGGAGGTTGAGGAGCTGGTGGGGACTGTTCTGCCCTCTTGCCCACCCACCAGCTGGCACCTCCCTACCTAGGGCATCCTGTAGATACTTCTGGCCCACCAGCTTGAGGTACTCTTCGATGGCTTTGGTGGCCAGTGTGTTCTCCCGGAAGATAAGGTGCTCATTGTCCCCACAGCGGTCCACCTCAGACATCATCAGGTCTGTCAGAAAGTCCTGGGGATGTGGGAAGTGAGATCAGGACCCGAGCTGGCTGGTAGGGAGAGCCCCAGCATTCCAGACCTGGTCAAAGGAGAAGCTTCAGCTTCTCTAGGCTGCTCTAGCATCCCAAGAGGAACAGAGCGCCCACCCCAGGGGACTGCTGAGGAGTATGGGCAGGGCAGGGAGGAGCCTACAGCTGGTAATATCAAAACCAGGTCTAAGGATGGAGGAGGCAGGCTTGCCGAGAAGATGCCACCTGGAGCCACAAGCCTCCCACCATCCCAGGCCAGGTGGATCAAATCTCTATTCTACCCTGACCAGACCTGGGTGGGTGACCACAGCAAACTTGCCACCCCCACCTCTCTAATCAGTGCCAGGGAGGACAGAGGGTACAAATAGCCACCAGCATGTGCCCATGACTATGGTTGGGCTCCCACACCAGACAGCATGACCCCACAACAAAGGATAAGAGGACGGAGGAGGTCCTGTGCCCTGAAAGGCAGTGAGCCACCATGTTCAAATGGGGGAAAAAGCAGGGCCTGATGTACACTTGACAGAGAAAGACTGAGGCACACTATCCGTCCGGCAATCCCAGCAGCCCCTGCACAGTGCTGTGGAAGATCTAGCAGAGAAGCCTAAACTCACACTTACCCTAACTAGGTAGCACCCACCCAGATGATGACTCCCTCCCTCGGGAGCCCCTGCCTCCTTGTGTTCAAAGTCAACCTGTGACTTGGGGGAGGGTGACAGAGCAGGGGCCACCCAGCACGGAGCCTGCCAGATGCTCAATGTGGGCAGAGGTTGCTGATGCCCTGGAAATTCCTTTCTCCAATGTGCATGATGTTGAAATAGAGATTAGACCCAGGAAGCTGTGCTGGCCAATGAAGGCACAGGAGGCCAGGGGGATGCTGTCAGCCTTCCTACCTACAGACAAGCTCTAGAGGCCTTCTCTGAACACACTGAAGCAGGGTAAGAATCACCTCTCCCCTACGTTCCCACAGTTCTTGCAGGGATGAGGGGGAATCCCAGGGAGTTAGAACCCAATAAGGAGAAACCAAGGCACGGAGAAGGAATGACTCATCCAAGGCACATCACCACCTAGGGCCAGATATGACCTAAGTCTCCGGCTTCTCAGGTTCCATTTCTCCTTCAGCTATGGATGGGGCAAGGGACGAAGCTATTCCCAAGTGTTCTGGAGAGGGGGAGCCCTGTGCTTGGCACCCAGCAACATGAGTTACTTTCTATCCCTCCACTGAAGGCTGCCCCCACCCTACAGAGGGCCTGCCCAGGTTGGCTGGAGTCCTTGCTTCCACCTCCCTCCATACCTTGCACGTCAGACTGGACTCTGCTTCCCAGATCAGCCCAGCCCTTGGGGCCAGGTCCTGGGAGACCAGACAGCTCAGGCCTCTGCCACCTCCCTGCTTCCTCCCCGGGAGCCAGAGTTGTCCTCCATTTCTTTTCATAGAGGCCCACACACACCTTCACCTTGCCCGTGCTCTGCAGGATGTGCACCAGGGCAGACGCCATCTCCTCCTTGGTCTTAGCGCTGAGGATGGGTTCGAGGGCTGCACACAGCCCCAGGTAGTGGTTGGTGATGTGCTCGGCAAACTCCTTGTACATCTCCATGGGCAGGATGGTGATGGTCTGGTAGCGCGCCTTAATGCGGATCATGGGCCCAGGGCCCTTGCCGCCCTTGGGGTTCGGCGTCACCACTGGGTACCACTTCTCCACAAACTGCCGCCCAGCGACTGAGGCAGCAGGCAGGCTGACCAGGCCCAGGTAACTGTTACGCTCCTTCTTCTTCTTCTTGTCGGTCTCCCGGTACAGGTGGACGGTGACTGTGCGCAGTGGTGGCAGGTTGTGGAACTCAAAGTGCTCGCCCCAGAAGACGTTGTCCGTCTTGAGCTTGCCTGTGGTGCGGGCGTAGAGCACATCATCCAGGCACAGCTCACACAAGTACTTCTTCTTGGCAGGCAGGTCCTTGGCCTCGATTACCCACAACTTCAGGATGTGCTCCACACGCCGACTGTTGTCCTACATGTACACGGAGGGACTGGGTGGTCAGCTGGGGGTGCCACCTGCCCCCCAGCCAGCCCAGAGCCCAGAAGAGTCCTGAGATCTGGGCACTGGTGGTATTAAAGGTGGCAGTGGGGGCGAGGGGAATCCAGGCCCAGACCAAGCACAGGGCAGGTCTGGTAGGTATCAGCTCACTAAGCTTAGGCTATTGACTTATCTAAGTCTCAGCTTGCATAGAAAAATCCATTTCATGAAGTGAGAGACTGGGTAAAGAGGTCACACAATGCTTGGCACATTGCAGGTTATGAAGCTGTTATCAGCCCTTCCTTAACCTGCTTGTCTGTGATATAACTTAAGAAGTGACTTCACCAACCAGGACTCAGCTCAGGCCCTCAATTCAGCTTGGGAAATGGATACAGAGGGAGGGATATGACCTGATGGGAGGAGCCCAGGGACAGCAGGAACACAGAGGGCACCAACTTAGGCCAGAGGAGGGGCTCGCCTGAGGAGGGGCAGACATTTATCCTGGGATGGGATGGGTGAACAGGAATCAGGTGGGGGGAAGCAGGGACAAAGGTTCTAGGTAGGATCCCAAGGGTCCAATGCTCATTTCCCCAGCCCAGCCTGTTCTCCCAGGTGTGAGAACAGATACACACAGCCCCTGTCTCAGGCTGGCAGACTCAAATTCCTTCCACAGCCCACCAATACTACCACTCAGGCTTCAGCCCAGCCCACTCCAAGGAGATCCTTCCTGCTTCCTCACACCTGAGTCTATAATCTCCAATACTTTGGCGGGGGGGGGGGGGGGGGGGGGGGGGGGGAGTGTACAGGCCTACCTTGTTGGGGTGCACAGCTCGCCGTAAGTTCTCCATCCACTTATCCCGCTCGGCTGCAGACCGGCAGGAAAAGCACTTGCTTCCTGATGATGTTGTCACCTATGGGAGGCAGGCAGGACAGTGTTACCAGGGAAGGGACCACAGCAAGACTGGACAACAATGGAAGATCTCTGAGGCTCAGGGGACTTTTACCACAGGTGTGCACCACAGCCTGAGGGAAGGAGGCAGGATATGACTCCCTATATGTCCCATTTTGTAAGTGGTAAACTGAGACATACTGTCCTAGCACAAGACAGCAGCAGAAGAGTGGCCCAGTCCCACACCAGCTGGCACTTGGTTCTGGTACCTTACTTCTGCCTTAGCATTCTCTGTCCAGGTAAGAAAGTGTTTTCTGACTCTAACCTCCCTCTCCCTGAGATGGGAGGAGGGAAGGAATTGGGCCCATGCCCAGGTCAGGGTGTGATGCTTAACCCAAGCATTAACTTCCCTAGAGGCAGAATCACAGGTGCCAACCAACAGTGGCAACATAAGCCTGATATTTTTTGTACCAGCCTGGAGAAATGAGAATTGGGCTGTCTGGGTATGCCAGGCCCTGGGGTCCTCCTCCCTGGAGCTTTAAGTCTCCTACCCAGCTCAGATGTCCCTTCCAGGCAAGGGAGGCTTCCTCGGGCTATTCATTCCCTATGTTCCCACTGCCTCTGCACCCAATCAAGAGTTCTCCAGGGGAAAGCAGAGTCCTCACTCAGCCTTCCAGGGCCTGCACAGTCTGCAGCACCCCTTGCTGTGAATGACTGGACACGTACTATCTTCAGTCCATCCCAGGCAAAGAAGTCAGAGCCCAGATCAACCTCAGCTAGGCTAGAAAATTTTTTTTTTTTTTTTTTTTTTTTTTATTTTTTTTTTTTTTTTTTTTTTTTTTTTTGAGACAGAGTCTTACTCTATTGTGTACTCTGGCCAGAACATAGTGGCATAATCAGATCACTATCATCTCAAATTTCTGAGCTAAAGCAATCCTCCTGCCACAGGTTCCTGAGTAGCTTAGACTATAGGCACCCTGCCACCACACCCAGCTAATTTTTATACTTTTTGTAGAGACAGGGTCTTGCTCTTGCTCAGGTTGGTCTTGAATACCTAAGCTCACGACTCATCCCACATTGGCCTCCCAGAGTGCTAGGATTAGGGGTATGAGCCACCATCCCTGGCATAGACCAGGAATCTTGAATGGGAAACAATGACCAGTGGGCACAAGGTGTCGTTCTGTTCTGGAGGTACTAGGAGGTTGTCACACTAGTCCCCAAATGGCTGCTTATTACTAGGCTCTTTCTTCTACCACAGAGCTCCCCTAATTATGCATAATTGCTGGGGATGGAAATCTTCCCAGGAACCAAAGGAAGAAGATAGTGCAGTAACTGGAGAAGCAATTAGCAACCCCAGAACACCTGCAGTAATAGCAAAACTGGCCCTGGCTTGTCATGTGACCTCTGACACCTTCTTGCCTTCACTGCACCTCAGATTCCCCATTTGCTCTGAGGGACCGGACAGGAAATCCTTAGGTAACGGTCCTACCCTGGGTAGGTTATAGGCTTTCTGCTCTCAAACTCTGAGTCAAAAGAATACTTGAGCAGGATAGGTTTGGGCTCTTACACAGAGGGAGGAACAGACCCAGAAAAGGGAGGACTCTCCACTATACCAGACTACATCTGAGGGTGAGTAGGCTCTCATGGCATCTGGGGCTTAAGCAATTTGACGCAGGCTTTTAAAAAACTCACTTTTACTCACTGAGGCCCCCAGCAGCTTCCCTTGCCATAGCTTGGAGAACAGATGCTGGCCCATTTCTGAAGTGCCCAGAGAGCAGGAATGACACCTTCCCACCCCCATCTCCACCTGGTCTGTTAGGAGCCAAAAGCTACAAGCAGGTTCCAGCTGCCACCCAAAGAGCTGCCCCTGCTCTGTGGGGGAACCCACCTCGAAGCAGTAGTCCTGGCCCAGGATGCTGCTGTGCACCGGCTTGATGACCACCTCCTCCTCCATGCTGAGGTCCAGCGCCTCTACTGCACTGCTGGGGCTGAGAAGGGACTCGTGGGAGCGAGACTCCTTCAGCCTTGGCATCAGATGGGACCTGGGGGTGGGCAATGGGCTGTCAGGCTGGGCCAAACTGGGTGCCTCACCCAGCCCAGCCACCCGTCTCCCTTCCCCAGAAACAGTCACTCCTCTCCATGTCCCCTCCTTTCTGTCTTAAGACCAGAGACCAGCCAGTCTCCTATCCCCACCCCAGGAGTCCACGTGAGGGGCTCTGACTCTGAGTGAGCAAGGAGTGGAGGACCAAGTGGCTACTCAGGGGGTTCAAGTGTGTGCTAGAGCCTGCAGCAGGTCCCAGGCTGTCTCCTGAGCTTCCCTGGAGACCCATAGGAAAGCCCACCTGAGCAAGACAGCCATCTGGGGCCTCTGCCACCTTCCCTCCCTCTTGCCCTGGTCCTTGCTCAAGTCTGAAACAGTCACCCTGGCCCAACATTTATTTAGTACGCCCCTGCTGACAAAATGTCCTGTATGACCAGCCCCACATAAGGCAGAAGAGTCACAGAGACCCTGCTGCTCCCACCACACAGAATGAGGACAGCTCAGAGCAGAAGCCTCTGCACAGGACCTGAAACATGGAGGGTTGGTCAGGGTCTATGCCCACAGGCACAAGGAGCAGAGGCAGTGGATGCCACCTGGTACCCACATGAAGACTGCACATGGGCTGGCTCCCACAAGCCTGGCCTTGGGCCACAGCTCAGCCTCAGTTTCCTCAGCACCTCACACTGAAAGCACTGCAGACGACGCCTGCTCTAGTGTTTGATAAAGTCCACTTCAGAGAGGCAAGTGTCTCTCTAGAGCCAACAGCACAGAGCTGTGCCTAACTGGAGTCCCCTCCCACACTGGGGCAGAGGAAAAGTCTGATGACCTGCTGGGCCTGCTAAGACCACCTCTGGCGGGGAAGCTTGGCAGGCGTTGCTTCTTCTGTACACTTGGCCCAAACCCCTGGGGCTGGTGAGAAACCTGCCCTGGCTTAGCCTACATGGGCCTCCTCCCAAGATTCTCTGCCTTCTGGTTCCTGGCCTCCAACATTCCAAACGCTGCTTCCACCATTCCCTCCTTACCTTAGGCCATGCTGAGATGTGGGCCCTGACCTCAAGGGATTCACAGCCTAGCATGAGTCACCAAACTGTTCCCCACTGGGCACACACCCTATATACCCATTCCTGTGAGTGCCTGTGGGGCTGAGGCCAGCTCCACATAGTTCAGGAATCCAGAGATGAGCTGGAAGGGCCTCACATGCTGGAAGAGGCCACCCTTCCACTTCAAACCACAACTCCATGGCAACAGCCCTCTTTGAGTATGGGGCCTCCCATGACATGGCATCCCATGTCAGACACTACAAGGAGTCAGAGCTCAAGGGGCACCCCAGCCCTTGGACACCTACCAAGCCCAACCCAGGAGACCCACCCAGCCTTCTCTCATTGTCTCTCCTTACCCAGCACAAAGCTGGCCTCTCAGAGTTAGAGGGAATGGTAGAGCCCAGCAAAAGCATGAGACGTGCTGCGGTCAGTTAGAGCCCTCTCAGACTACTGTAGGATTCCCGCGTGGAGCTTCTTGGCGTGGCCCCTGCCCACAGACATGCACAGCTGGCATTCCTCTGCTCCTCCAGGGTTCTCTGTGGCCCATACCAAACCATGCTGGTAGGTACAAGAACAGCTTTTTCCCCTTGACAGCCCAAAGCCCAGCCTCCTCCTGTCACCCTGACCTATGCCATGGGTGGATCTGCCTTCCCCTTGGCTGAGGTTTCACCTGGGCTACCACCTCCCAGGGCAGACTCCAGGCCTCTCTCCCAGATGGGGCTTCATACCTCAGTGGAAGAGACACCTGTCTCAGACACTGGAGTGTCATCCCATCTAGTAGAAGCTGGGACCCATAGGCTCTTGGGCCTGATGTCTGAGACCCAAAACACAGCCTATAGGCTGGGAAGAGCTGCTTTCCAGCCTAGTCTGAAGAACCCTGCCAGGTAAGGATGCTGGGAGCCAGGGCAGGTGGAGTAGGGACCCAGAGAGTACAAACAGAGGAACTGGTGATCTGGGGCTGCCTCCTACCTGGGGTGCCTGGCCAGTGCAAGGAAAGGCAGGCACAGTAGACTGGGTCTGCCCACATAAACCCAAGGGGACCCTGGTGCTACAGCCCCCACAGCTCAACAAGCCCAGACCAAACCCCCAAACATCAAGACCCTGGAGCCTTGGCTGCAGAATCTTCCCCTTCCTTCCCCACCACCCTGTCTCACAAGCATGATCCAGCCTGCCTTGGTAACCTTGGGAAGGGTCCTGGTGGAACAGAGGGCTGTGGGAATTTCAGGGCCCTTAAGACACCTAGATTGGGCTCGGCGCCTGTGGATCAAGTGGCTATGGCGCCAGCCACATACACTTAAGGTGGTGGGTTCGAATCTAGCCTGGGCCCGCCAAACAACAAGGATGGCTGCAACCAAAAAATAGCCAGGCGTTGTGGCGGGCGCCTGTGGTCCCAGCAACTTGGGAGGTGGAGACAGGAGACTTGCTTGAGCCCAGGAGTTGGAGGTTGCTATGAGCTATGCCACAGCACTCTACCCAGGGGGACAGCTTGAGGCTCTGTCTCAAAAAAAAAAAAAAAAAAAGACACCTAAATTGGGCTGGCCCACCCAGCTGTAGCTGGACAATCTTGACCTTCTTCATGTCTCTGAGGGCTTCTCCATGAGGGAGGACATGGAGCAGAGGCAGCCCCATAGCCCAAGCTCACAGGCAGGAAGAGGAATGTGGCAGGGTAGGGTCTGGGGAGGCCTGAATAGCTCTGCAAGGTCTCCCAGGCTGCCCCTGGAGGAGGGCCTGGACTCTGACTCATGCTACATGTGCACTGCTTTCCTGACCAGCCTGGAGGCTACCTGCTACCTCCCACCCACCAGGCCATGACACACTGCCCTTTGTCTTCACCCCATCTTGAACCCAGGGTGATGGTCTGCTGTGAAGCTACCAAAGTATGCCTATGATGGTGGTTGATAAGATGACAAGGCCTCAGCAAAGCAACATGGTCATTTGATCACTTCCCAGATCCAGCCTAAGAACCACATCTCCGGGAAGCCAGCCCTGTACTATGCCTGTAGTACCTCCAGTCACTCTACACCAGGGATGGCCTGCCCCAACAGTCACCCAAGGCAGGACTTCCTCTCACACCAGGCATTGCTGAGCCACTTCCTTTCTTACCTCCAGCCTCTGCCTTGCTAGGCTGAGCAAGCCCATCAGAGGCAGGGAGGGAGACAGTCACCAAAGACTGCTCAGGCTCAAGGGGGCAGTGAGTGGGCACAGCCTCCCTAGCTGGGAAGCTCCGGTGGAAGGAAGTGAACAGGGGCTGCTCTCTGCCTTGCTCCCATTCCACTCCCAGGAGAGGGGTGCTTATAGGCACCCATCACCACTCAGCATGGGGTGGGCATCACCCAGTCATTTGCATATCGCTTATCTTTTTTTTCTTTTGACTGTCACTAGCCTTGTGACAACCAGGGCTAGTGTGCAATGGCATCATCATAGCTCACTGCAACCTCCAACTCCTGGGCTTAAGCGATCCTCCTGCCTCAGCCTACCCAATAGCTGAGACCACATGTGTCCTCCACCATGACCAGCTAATTTTTTTTTATTTTTAGTAGAGACAAGTTCTTGCTCTTGCTCAGGCTGGTCTTCAACTCCTCAGCCTTGGCCTTGTAGATGGCTACAATTACAGGTGTGAGCCACCACACACAACCACTTTTTCCATTTTAAGAGTATACACACCTACGAGGAGTATTCACTACTTATTTTATGGAGAAGTAAGACTGGCTCAGAGAGGAGCAGTTACTTCATCTGCCTGAGGACCCTTGGTAGGACAAGGACCCAAGTCAGTCTGCAAGCTCTGCACAAAGCTGCCTATGTTGGGGGAACCCGGTGCTCCTGTACATAGGGCCTCTGATGTCTACTGGCCCCAGGCCCTTTTCTGCTGCTCGAGCCTGGGGTGGTAGAGAAAGCAGCCCAAAGGCATCCCTTCCCAGTACCCAGATCAGTCTCATGACGACTCCCCTCTGACTTCCTGTGGTCCATGGAGACCAGAGCCTTGGCCTCCTCAGCAAGGTGGGCACCAAGGGGGTAAAGGCCTTTGCCTGGGGGCTCCACATCCGCGGATCACTTCTATGGCCCAGGTCTGAGCTACTTCTCACAACAACCTTGCAGGGACCCTGTGTGATGCCACTGGGCTCAGAGAAGCTGGATCGCACATCTACAACAGAAACAAGTCTCAAACCAGGGCTATAGAGAACACTCTGGGCCCTCCTCACCAGGCAGAGCTGGCTTACCCTGGGCTGTGTGCCACACGAGTATCACACATGTCCCCCAGCACAATCTCCAAAAGCCTGAGAAGCAGATGTTGGCCTCACCCTCACTTTGCAGGGGAGAAACTGAGGCCTGCTCAGAGAGGGCAAGTGATGAGCCCAGTGTCCCTTCTTTCTTCTAGTGCCACTTCCACACTCAAATTCCTTGGATCCATTTCCTTATCTGAAAAAGGAAGGAAGGATTCTTGCCACCAATTCAGCAAGCATACCCTGAAGTGGTGGGAAAACAGGCTCAGCAGGGGAAGCATGGGAAGCATCTCCTAGGCCTTTGAAGGAGCTGTGGGCTTCCTTCCAAGGCCACATAGGGCTCAGCTATAGCAAAGAAACTCAGCACTCTGGGCCACCAGCTGGGGTCTGTCTGCCTGCCCCACCTTACAGGCCCACCCCTTAGGGGCCTGCCTACTAGGCTCCTCCCCAGGGATGATGAGTCTCTCAGGCAGGCCTCCAGGCGCATGCTGTCCCCTCTGCCCAGACAACACCTTCCATTTTTCCTATCCAACCTTCAACACCCAGTATCACTGCTTCTTCTTCCACGAAGCCTTCCTGGATACCCCAAGTAGACAGTGACATTCACCAGTCTGGGTTGGAAAGGTCAAAATATATCCGGCAAGGGACTCCTACTAGGTCTGGCTCAGCTCCAAGATTCAGAACCTTGTAGTTCCTGGACCAAGGACCGAATACCCCAGCAGCCAAGATTAGCTAAGTCTGGTGGGGGCAGGAGGTCAGCTGGGGTAAGAATAGTTCTCCCTGAGCCTATAAACTCAGTGACATGAAGTGTCCCTTGGAGAGGGAACAAAGAGTCCCAAAGATGGACTGTCAGGGCAGCAGCTTGTTTAAGGCAAATTCCTAAGAACAGCACCCTGAGGTTTATCCTAGAATCTGAGAAATGTCCCTGCCCTTGCTTTGTCCAAGTATGGGGAACTCTCTATTTCTCAAGGTTAGGGGGCTTAT